AAAAAAAAAAAAAAAAAAAATGAATTTGTAATTAAAGTCTTCCTGCAAATAAACTGCAATACCTAGATGGCTTATTAGTGAATTCTATCAAGCATTTAAGGAAGAACTATTAAGTTGGTTCAAAAGTAATTACGGTTTTTCCATTAATTTTAATGACAAAAACACAATTACTTTTGCACCAACCTAATAATACCAATTCTGCACATTCAGAAAATGGAGCAGGATGGAAAACTTTTACTTATTGATCAACAATTTTTGTAATTTGAAAAATAAAGAAATGCCTAATGGTTCTGTCTGACCTTTTAATCAGGGGTTTTGTATCAGGGTAATGCTGGTCTCATAAAATTAGTTTCAGCATTACCCTGATACAAAAACTGATTTAAAAAATGCCAGAGAAAGAAAGAAAGAAAACTCCAGTTCAATATCTCTCATGAACATAGAAACCAAAATTGTGAAATTTTAGTAAATCAAATCCAGATGTGTGCATGCATGTGTGTGTGTGCCCCTGTGTATAAAGATATAAAAAGTAATACATCCTGACCAAGTAAGGTTTACCATAGGAATACAGGGTTAGTTTTAATATCCAAAAATTAATCATTGCAATTATGCTATATTATCAGAAAAAAAAGATCATCTTACGTAGTATATATAGAAAACACATCTGACAAAATTCAACTCTCATTTATAATAAAAGTTTTCAGCCAATTAGGAATAGAATGGAGCTTTCTCACTCTCATCAAAGGAATCTATGAGAAACCTACAGATTACACCTGTAATGCACATAATGTAGTCAGATTGAAAAGACAGCAAAGATGTCCACTCTGACCACTGTTATTCATCAGTGTACTGGAGCCCTGTGAGATATAAAGATACATAGATTAGAAAGAAGAAAAATGTAAACTCGTTTTCAGAAAACATGACTGTGTACATAGAATATCCTAAGGAATTCTAAAAGAGAAAAAAAAAGCCTACTATAACTAATAAATGAATTGAGCAAGGTCACAGGACACAAAGCCAATACACAAAAATCAGTTGTATTTCTATGTATTAAAATGAACAATTAGAAAGTAAAATTTTTTAAATACTATTTATAGTAGTATCCCAAAACACAAAACATTTAAGAATAAATTTTTAAAAATATATCCAAGATCTGTACAATGAAATCTATAAAACATTACTTAGAGAAATTAAGCAATACCTAAATAAATTGGGAATGATGTTCATGGATTGAGAGACTAAATATTGTCTGTCAGTTTTCTCAAATTGGTCTATAGCGGGGTTTTGCAATCTATGGCCTATGGGTCCAATCTGTCAGATTTTGTAAATAAAGTTTTATTAGAACACAACCATACCCACTTATTTATTAATACGTATATTCTAGTTTTTGTAAATACATAGGTATGTACATGTCTATGTGTTTTTATATTGGTATTAGCACTGACAGTGGTGTTGCGCTATCAACAGGCTATGGACATCGGTCACCTCAGGGGGATGGGAATGAAATAATATTGAGGAGGGATTGTAATTTTTTACACATCTTTGCCTAGTTTTACTTATTACATGAAGCATAAATTATTTTTGTATTTAAATTTTTAATTTTAAAAGCACAAACATTTATCATTCTAAGAAATGTGTATAGTGTTTACAGTTGCTTTTCAGATCTCCTTTTGCTAGAATTCGTTAGACCTGCTATTAAAGTAAAATTCAAAGGGACTCAGTTTATTGCTCCAGAGCCCAAAGTGCTTTCAAACAAAGGCACATGACCTGCATTTGCATTCTTACTCTCAGGGGATAGAAAATCAGGATGGTACTTCAAAAGCAAAATGAGGAGGTAAATGCTGGACGGAAAACAACAAGAAATATTGACTTAAATACCAAATAAAACAAGGAGAGGGAAAGGGAAAGGAAGAAAGAAAAGGAAGGAAGGGGAGAGAACCTAGAAGAGAACTTAGGGAAGGCTAATCCAGGAGTCTTCAGATCCCCTACTTGCCTCAGACTATACCTTCATAATCCCTTCACTTCACCTATGAAAGTAGTTACCTTGGATAACCACTGCTCTCTTGACTATCAATGTGAGTAGCGTCTCACTTCCTTCTAACATTTGCTATCACATCAACACTAGTGTTCGTGTCTTTGGTGAATTTGTTTTTGTTCTCTCTCCCTAGTCCATTGGTTGGTATAATCATCTCTCCATCAATCAGGAAGAGCCAAGGAGGGGGTGTACAGTTAACGTGGGGTTTTTTAACTTATTTTAACTGGGAAACAAATCCAACTCTTTTCAATATGATTTAATTACTGTCAAAAAATATGAAAGGTTCATTTTTATTCAAAGCAAATACTTTGAAATTATATAATCCCAAATCCTTTATTTAGTAAGAAGTTTTAATCATTAGCAAGCCTTCATGACCAATAGTGTGGGAATCCTCTAAATGCAGTAAATTTTTAAAAATTCATTGCCATTAAAAAATATAAATTTTCTTTGGGTAATTATAAACATCAAATCCAAATTTTAAAAATTCTTACATTTTAGAGCCATATTACCTCAAACAATAGGTCCCATATTTAAATTCAAGGTTTTGTTCTTATTTTTAATCCAATAGGGCCATCCATCACTTGTGAAAGCTCTGTCCTACCTGTATGAAAAGCTTTATCAAAAGCAAATCGATTCAAATAAAGAAATCCTTGTGACAGTAGGAGCATATGGATCTCTTTTTAACACCGTTCAAGCATTAATTGATGAGGGAGATGAAGTAAGTATGTTAACATTATCATAATACCTATGTTGAATCAATTATCATTTGTCCCACCTTTGAATCTTTTGTTTATATTATGCTGTTTTCTCTTTTTATTTTTAATTATGTTTTAAGTATAATGCATGTACAATAAAGTTCACAAATCTTAAATGTACAGCTGGATAAATTACTGTGTAAATTTCTGTGTAACTACAACCAGATAAAGATAATACATTTCCAGTACCCAGAAAGCTCCTTTGTTCCTCTTCATAGTCTATATTCTCCCAGAGGTAACTACTCTTCTGTCTTCTATAACCATAGACTTGTTTTGACTGCTCTTTTACTTGATAGGAATAGAATTATACAATGTATATATACTCTTGGGTCTAGATTCATTCATTTATTTTTGTGTCTGTCAGATTCATCCATTTTCTTGCATATAGTTTATTCTTATTTTTATAGCCTATTTAAATAAGGGCAGATGGAAGGGACTAACACTGCTGGGGAAAAAGAATCTTTTGTTTTCATTGCTAAAATAACCTTTAATCTTAACTTGGTCTACAAGTTTTTGATTAATGTCTTTGTGTGCCCAGTAATTGTATAAGCCATCTCATATGAAGATTTTTTTTTTTCTTTTTTTTTTGGAGACAGAGTCCCACTTTGTTGCCCAGGCTGGAGTACAGTGGTGCAATCTTGGCTCACTGCAACCTCCACCTCACGGGTTCAAGTGATTCTCCTGCCCCAGCCTACTGAGTAGCTGAGATTACAGGCGTCCGCCACCAAGCCCAGCTAATTTTTGTATATTTAGGAGAGATGGGATTTTGCCATGTTGGCCAGACTGGTCTCGAACTCCTGACCTCAGGTGATCCATCTGCCTCAGCCTCCCAAAGTGCTGGGATTACAAGCGTAAGCCACCACACCTGGCTGAGGATGTATTAATATGACAGGAAGGTAAAATGATTTTGCTATTTAGTACTGTGATGTATAACCAACTTTTGGCACCTACCTCAGTCATCTCTACCCATATTTCCCATTATCATTCCAATACCCTTGCTTTAATACTTTTTGCCTCTTTCATTTATTCACAAAATACAGAGGATCCAATATATGCTAAGCACTGTGAGATAGAAGATTTTTTTAAAGATAGATTCTGTGCAGAAGGAATTCTCTGACTCATAGAGAACACAGACTTGCAAATGGATTAAGAGGAACATTGTGTGTTAGCCAGTAGTGGAGAATGTATAACTTACAGTAGTGACAAAAGGAAGAGGCAATCACATCAGCTAAGTCTGGAAAGCTCCAGAGAGATATTACTTACACTGGGACTGAAGAACGAGTATTTATCCTGATCTATATTGTTAAGTTTCTTTGAACTCTCATAGCCCTTTATCATACCACTTTTATGAAAGATGCTGCTATCTGCTTTGTGTTTTGTTATTCTTTTGCAACTTTGATTCCCTCCACTGTGCCAGACAAGATGTTTAAGGAAACATGTTAAGGAAGTTCACAGTTTCATATACATAATCTCCTTTAATCCTCTAACGTAGTTTTGTCTCATACTTCAATGTTGTTAATCCTTTGTTGCTTCTTTCTCTGCACTATGTTGGGAGTATTGTAAGGCTTAGCCCTTAGCCTTCTTTCCTCTATTCTTTCTTCCTTCATCAACTTATCTAGTATTTTGAAACCACATACATGTCACTTACTATAATACTGACCTATTTATTGTTTCTTTATCACATTTATTACTATCTGAAATTATCTAATGTCCTTATTTGTTTCTCTGTTCATTGTAAGCCTCTCTCAGTAGGATGTAAGTTCTAGGAGAACTTTATAGCTTTATTGCCAGCACCTAAAATAGTGAGGACTCAATAAATACTCTCAAAAAAAAAAAAAAGAGAGAGAGAGAGAGAGGAATTGTTCACATCATAAAAGTGAAGAAATCAAGGTGAAGAGTAGCAGGTATATTCCTCCCACTCCACTGCCCTGCCTCTCCAATTTATTTTCCTTTATTGTGCTCTCACTTTGTATTGAGTTATATATTTCCCACTAGAGTCACAAAGATAGGTTGTTTTAGTCCCTGAGAACTTCACAGATGAGGCTGGGTGTGGTGGCTCAGGCCTGTTATCCCAGCAGTTTGAGAGGCCCAGGCAAGCAGATCACCTGAGGTCAGGAGTTCAAGACCAGCCTGGGCAATGGCGAAACCCTGTCTCTACTAAAAATGCAAAAATTGACCATGCTTTTGAGAAGAGAGAAACATTTCTACTCTCAAGATGATGCTTTTAAGTTAGCACTTTATACCAGGGAACATTACAGTGTTCTCTTTCCACATAGCCTGCTGTCTGTCACTGCTTATACATCACTTACATTCTAGATTTTATTTTCTAATTTGAAATATGAAGAAATGCTTAATCGTTTTGGCTGGAATATCCCTTTGAGAATGTGATAGTCCCATTCTCCAGGTAAATCTACCTCTGCATATATGAAATTTTATATGCAATTTCAAATACTCCCACTGCATGCTTATTTATAGATCTCCCTAAGATACCAAGGAGTCCAATTAAGACTACCTGGACAAGTTTGTCTCCGAGGTCTCTTCCCCTCAGATGTTAGCTCCACAAGGGCAAAGCCTGCCTTTTTCACTGCTGTATCCCAACACATAGTACAGTGCCTAGTCCATAGTAGGTACACAGTATTATTAACATGAATAAATGATTGATAGGTTGTGATCTTATTTGCTTTTATTGCAGGTCATACTAATAGTGCCTTTCTATGACTGCTATGAGCCCATGGTGAGAATGGCTGGAGCAACACCTGTTTTTATTCCCCTGAGATCTGTAAGTTTGCCAGTAGGGTTCATATGGCAAAGTTTCAAGACTTAAGAAGTCTTGAAAATACCAATTACTTTGTTATGATAAAGTTTCTACTTTGATTGCATTTGGAGATTTCCTGTATGTCTCTGTTTGTCTAGTTGTCTTTTTAAAATATTTTCAACATAAGTAATACACTAAGGTGAGTCACAAAATCATCAGCTAACCTTACAATATCAGACATGTTAACCATAGTTGTAGCTAGTTCCTGTGAAGGAATAGTAACAGCAGTTAATGTTGACAGGGCTTATTTTTCCATTTAACAGGAGTGAGCATAAGACTTAAGTCTTCTTGGGCTCTTAAGCAGAACTACAGCCTAGTTATTTCTGTTTATCTTCTTTGTTAGTCTTTTTCTACTTTTTTTTCTGTTCCTACTCCAGGGAAGCATTTGTTGGTAATTTATTCAGTTTCCTTTGCCATGTCTTTCTTTGATGTTTTTTTCTTATTATATTATTTGTTTGTAAGACAGTAAACATGACTTAATTGAATCAAATTATATCTTCATTCTTCATGCTTAGAAACCTGTTGATGGAAAAAGATGGTCTAGTTCTGACTGGACATTAGATCCTCAAGAACTGGAAAGTAAATTTAATTCCAAAACCAAAGCTATTATACTAAATACTCCACATAACCCACTTGGCAAGGTAAGCAAGTCTCTTATCTCCTTACACAGTCTTCTGACCTATCATTTTCTCACATGTTGAATAATTGGCTGTGCTCTTTCCTTTATTATGTGTAGGTGTATAACAAAGAGGAACTGCAAGTAATTGCTGACCTTTGCATCAAATATGACACACTCTGCATCAGCGATGAGGTTTATGAATGGCTTGTATATTCTGGAAATAAGCACTTAAAAATAGGTACCGACTATAATATAGAGTCACAAATCTAAATGTGTTAGGGCACATATGGTAGAACTGATTGGAAAGTATCCCAGACCAAATCTAAAATAGTCTTTGTAATGGGTATCTGTCTGTATGAACACTTAAAAATAGTATTTAAATGAGCAATACTTTAGTGAATTGATGAATAGTTCAAAGGACAAAGAATAAGAGATTTTGGATCATACTATAAAGCTATGATACCAGAGAAGTAGTTCTTTTGCCCATATCCCCGGCTTCTTAGCAGAAATCCAGCAATTACTTGGTACATAAGACACAGGGAGCTTTCTTGTGCCTGAAGAGGTTCTAGACGGTCTGTGCTCAACAACTTAACAAATTGCCAAATCAACAGAAAGAAATTACAGGGGTAGTCAGGTATGCTGCTTGGCCCTTGCTTGAGATTCAGCTATTGCTACTGGGCTATCTCATGAATGCTGTAGTGTCTGCTGCAGTAGTCCAAACCATGTGAACTATAGGATTACAAACTGGGCTGCAACTTTTGGGTCTTCGAACCTCCCTTTCCTTTGCCTGGAAACACTTTTCCTCCAAATATCCACCTGGCTGCAAATATCCTTTGCCTCCTTCAGGCCTTTGTCCAATGTCAGTTTTCATGACCATCACATTGAAAATAGATACACCTCTCCCTCCAGCATTTGCTTTGTCCTTTTTCTATTTTGTTTTGTTTTTCCCTCTATAGTAAATATAAGAATCTATATATTTTACTTCTAAACCACAGTGATGGAGGGGTTTTGTTTATTTTAGTCTCTTCTGCATCCCCATTTTCCATAGAATCTTGTACACGGTAGAGAATTAGAAAGAAATTGTTGAATAAATGAAGACGAAAGATGAAAAGATTAAGGGAAGGATGACTAAAAAATGTAGCAGAAATAGATATATTTTAAAATTTAGACCAGGTACAGTGGTTCACGCCTATAATCCCAGCACTTTGAGAGGCTAAAGTGGGTGGATTGCTAGAGTCCAGGAGTTCAAAACTGGCCTGGGCAACATGGAGAAACTCCATCTCTACACAGAAATTCAAAAAATCAGCCAGGTGTGGTAGTCTGTGCCTGTAGTCGCAGCTACTTGGGAGGCTGGGGTGGGAGGATCCCTTGAGCCCGGGTACCACTGGCTCACTGCAACCTCCATCTCCTGGGCTCAAGCAATCCTCCCAGCTCAGCCTCCCAAGTAACTGGGACTAAAGGCACAGACCACCACACCCGGCTAATTTTTTTTTAAGAAAAATAAAAATAAGAAATGTAATGTGCTAATATATTAAATTGTTGCATTGTTACATGTGCCATAATTACTCCTATAGTATATTACAAGTTGCTATAGATGTGGGAAGAGAAAGCAACTGTTTGAGGGGAATAAAAAAGGAGTGGCCAAAAGATAGAGAATTAGCTAAACAGAGAAATAGAAACTAAATTCCTAAAACATAAACTAGCATGTACTTAGACAAGGAGGTGTAAAAGATCAAGATACACTTAAGAAAGGTAAATGATTATTGAAATTTTAAACACAAAGAAGAAGAAAGGTAAATAAGTTTTGTGGGTTTTTTTGTTTGTTTGTTTTTGAGACAGAGTCTTGCTCTGTCACCCAGGATGGAGTGCAGTGGCGCGATCTCGGCTCACTGCAACCTCTGCCTCCTGGGTTCCAATGATTCTCCTGCCTCGGGCTCCCGAATAGTTGGGATTACAGGCATGCGCCACCATGCCTGGCTAATTTTTTTACTTTTAGTAGAGACGGGGTTTCACCATGTTGGCCTGTTGGCCAAGCTGGTCTCAAACTTCTAACCTCATGATCCACCCGCCTCAGCCTCCCAAAGTGCTAGAATTACAGGCATGAGCCACCGTGCCCGGCCTTATTTTTTATTTTTATTTTTTAGGAGACAGGGTCTTGCTGTGTCACCCAGGCTGGAGTGCAGTGGCGCAGAGCTCACTGTAATCTCAAACTTTTGGGTTCAAGCAATCCTTTCACCTCAGCCTCCCAAGTAGCTTTGACTACAAGTCTGCACCCCCTTATCTGGCTAATTTTTTTTTAATTTTTGTAGAGATAGCATCTCACTGTGTTGCTCGTACTGTTCTCAATCTCCTAGACTCAAGCAATCCTCCTGCCCTGGCCTCCCAAAGGGCTGTGATTACAGGCATAAGCCATAGAACCCAGCCTCAGTTTGATTTATGAGGGTGTATTGTAGTAACTGGCATAGATCAGGGTGGAAAAGTAGGGTGATTCTAAAGGACTTTGAATATGAGATAAAGAGTATAAACTTTGTTGAGGAGGTCAGGGTTCTGAAACTTACTTTAGTGGTAGATCACCATGAGATCACAGTGTTCTACATCATGAAATAGTGATATTGTGAATTCCATCCTGAAAGTAATAGCAATTTTCCCAACAGAAATTCAACAATTAGAATCCAATATAAAAATCACAATTCTGTTCATACTTGTCCACAACAAAAAGCTATTGAAATAAACACATTTGAGTTTTTCTGATTTTTCCATTAATATGCATTTACTAAATGCTCATCTGTTTCACTATTAGAGCATCCACTATCAGATAAGTGGTAGTATTTGCTATAAGGCTTAAGAAAATTGTGTGGAAGAAAACTTAACATTGATTTTTTAAAATTTTGCACATTAATTTGATTACCAGAGTGCCAGTGACCTTACTTTGAGAACTATTGCAAAAGGTGTAACAAAACAGGAGAATTGGTTCCATGACTAGATTTTTTTTTACAAAGATGAGAGCCAGTCACAGAGGAGGGTCTTAAGCAAATCAGATAACCTAGCAGTGGAGATGGTACATGGGGGCTATTTAGAAATTATAGAGTGTAGCATTTGAAGGTGGAAAGAAAGCAAGCATGATACTAAGATCTCTAGCCTGAACTACTCAGCAGTGATAAGGCCTTTAACCAGAGTAAATATGGAGAGGAGCAGATTTGTAGGGAAGGGCTGAGCAAAGGGAATTCCTTCTCATGCTTTAAACTTGCTGAGTTTGGGTGTCTATGGGACATAGAAGAATAGATATCTGGGGACAAGTGGAATTATACGCCTGATCGTCAGAATCAAATTATAATGGAATGTATTTTTGGCAGTCATCAAAATGTTGGTGGTTGCTGGACACATGGAAGAGAATGAATTTTCTCAAGGGGAATATATAAACAGAGATGGCAGCCAGAGATTTGCAGGATGTGGCACCTTACTACACCAAAATGTTATCATGTGTTAAATTGCATCAGAGTCCACCATCGCCCATCCTGTTGGTGACCTTGTCTCAAGTCATTTGAACTGTTTCCCAGTGGAAAATCAGATTAATATGAACAATTACTTTCTTGTTGTAATTAACTCAGTGTAGCAATATTCATCCCAAAAGATCACTTTAGATCATCTTGAAATTTATTATTTAGATCTACTCATTTTAAGCCCTTCAGGGTAAAGCGTAACTAATAACATTATTTACTAAAGATATGAAAGATGTATATTTTGAACTTAGATTTTTTTTAGTTGTAACAGCCCATAAAGTTTAAATAAGACCAAAAAATGGATACACTATTTCATTATTTAGAAAGTGCAATTTGTTTGCATTAAAAATGAGGTATTCTATCACATACAATAGTCTTTGTTACATTAAAGATGCAAAATGGCTACAAAACAGCTATTACATCAATTTGCAAAGTGCACCAGTAGTCCTTTGCAAAGTGCACCAGTAGTCCTTTAATATATGATGTATCCTTTACTTTAAAGGAAGTGATAATCTGCATTATACATAGTTTGGATTTTCTCGGGTCAAATAGAAAAGTGGGGCATGTGTCATAGCATTCTTTTGGAGTATTTTGGAAGACCAGAAATGTCTCAAAACTAGAAGGGATATAATTATTTATATCATATTTTAAAATATTCCTTCTTCAAGTGGACATTCTAACTATTTTTCTCATTTATCTTTTTGGGTTTTGTTATATTCCACAGAGAATAAAATTATAACTTTTCTGATTTATATACTTTTCCTACTGTTTCAAATTTAGCAGGTATTTCAGGGTAGACTGAAATTACTTACACGTTGTTTTGGAAATTCCTGTAGCTGCCTTACATTTTAGTAGGCACTTTACTTGCTTAAGAGCAGATTATTTCAGAAAGCAGAAGCTTAGATTCCCAGAGATGTGCATTTATTTTCCCTTTGTGTGTACCAACACTCTAAGAACAATACAAGATCCCCCACTTGTGCTTCTGAAAAACAAGTGGAAAAACTTGTGGGTTGCATGGAAAGAACTTCAAAACTAAATTACTTGAGGAATCCAAAAAGCAGTATTGTGGGTGGCATTGGCAGAAGAGTGACAGAATGGTAATTTACCAGTTATTACCAATGTCTAGCAAAATTTACAAACTCTTGCATTTTAGACCTCCAGACCTTTGTTACCTGCATTCTCTTAGCCCAGAATATCTTCATTCCCTTTCTCTGCCTGGCTATGGCCTATGTGGTCTTCTATGTCTCAGCTTAAGAATTACTGGCTGCAGAAAGCCACCCTCAACACCCTCTTCTATCCTTGCATCACCCTCCATGCCTCCTGCTGTTACAGCATTTATCACATTGTATTACAATTGTCATTGTATGTGTCTCATGTCCCACTAGACATTAAATTTTTTGAAGAATTGCATCTTATTCATTTTGTTTCCTCTAGACCTTAGTCCCTAGCACCTGGTGGTTGCTAATGAATATTTGATGTATGAATGAATCAATGTCTTTATTAAAGATGTTAATGAACTTGAAAACCATTATACAGCCAATTCGCATTATTCTTGAGTTCTGTATTTGCAAATTTGCCTACTCCCTAAAATATATGTGTAACAAAATCAATACAGCACTTCATTTGAAGAGAAGGGGAAATTTGAGTCACCCTACACACATTCCCAGTCGAGGTCAAACAAGGCAACACTCTGGTTCTGTTTCAATTCACACTATAAGCAATTGTTCTCTGTACAGTGATTTTGCTGTTTAAAATGGCCCCCAAGCCTAGTGCTGAAGTGCTGTCTAGTGTTCCTAAGTGCAAGAAGGTTGTGATGTTCCTTATGGAGAAAATGTGTGTGTTTGATAAGTTTCGTTCAGGCACAATGGCCACGAGGATATTAAAGAGTGATAGCTAAAAGGTACAGGGCTTCTTCTGGGATGAAAAAAGTGTTCTGAAATTGGTTATGGTGATAGTTGCACAGGTCTATAGATATACTAAAAAAATCACTGAATGGCATACCTTAAATTGGTGAATTTATGGGATTTATATCCCAATAAAGCTGTTAGCAAAACACACACACATACACACACACACATGCACACATGATTACTGGGTCCCACCCCCAGAGTTTCTGATTCAGTAGGTCTGGGATGAGGCCCAGTGATTTGCCTTTCTTACAAGTTATCCAGTGATGCTGATATTGCTAGTGTGAGAACACATTTTAAGAGCCATTGCTCTAGGAAGCCTGGAGAAATACACTCAGAAAATAGGCAAAATAAAGGGGCCTAAACAATAATCAGGATCACAACCTAAGCCCTGCCACTGGACTATTATACTGAACCTGCAACCATTGCTAACACTGAACACTGAATGCTACAGCTCCTGTGACAGCTGCCACTTAAGGCAGTCTGGAACACTGCCTGCTGGTACTCCTGACACTCCTGCCCCAGAACTAATTTAAAAATTTTTAAATCTATTTATATATTATTTTGGTGCAACATTACAGTGTTGTAACCTTTTCATCTGAGTTTTACATTAAAGTTACATTATCTAAAAAAAAAAAAAAACTAGAAATAACTATACTGGCTAAACTATAATACACTTATTTTCATTGAATTTATGTATCTTTGTTATGTTTTAAGATTATACTAAATGTAGATTAATTGGAAAACAATTATTTAACCTTTTTTCCTCCTCTGTTTAGCTACTTTTCCAGGTATGTGGGAGAGAACAATAACAATAGGAAGTGCTGGAAAGACTTTCAGTGTAACTGGCTGGAAGGTAAGATGAGTAAGAATTTAATTGCTTAAAAATAGGCCTGTATATTATTTATTTTTTTGTAGAGTGTTTTGTGTTTTAAATGCTGGCCAGGCATGGTGGCTCATGCCTATAATCCCAGCACTCTGCGAGGCTAAGGCAGGAGGATCACTTAAGGCCAGGAGTTCAAGGCCAAACTTGGCTACATGGTGAGACCCTGTCCCCATGGCAGGGTGGTGCATGCCTGCAGTCCCAGCAACTTGGGAGGATGATATGGGAGGATCACTTGAGCTCAGGAACTTGAGGCTGCAGTGAGCTGCACTCCGGCCACTGGGAGACAGAACAAGACCATCTTTAAAAAAATAATGAAATAAATAAGTAAACAGATAAATGAATAATTGCATACATATTCAGTTTATATAGATTTTTATACCTGGTGATCTTTGCTTATCTCTTGACTTATTTTGCTTTCATGTTGAGTTTTATCCTTTTTGAGACCTAATTATTTCTTTTTTTTTTTTTTTTTTTTTTTTTTTGAGACGGAGTTTCGCTCTGTCGCCCAGGCTGGAGTGCAGTGGCCGGATCTCAGCTCACTGCAAGCTCCGCCTCCCGGGTTTTTACGCCATTCTCCTGCCTCAGCCTCCCGAGTAGCCGGGACTACAGGCGCCCGCCACCTCGCCCGGCTAGTTTTTCGTATTTTTTAGTAGAGACGGGGTTTCACCGTGTTAGCCAGGATGGTCTCGAACTCCTGACCTCGTGATCCGCCCGTCTCGGCCTCCCAAAGTGCTGGGATTACCGGCTTGAGCCACCGCGCCCGGCCAGAGACCTAATTATTTCTTTAAAGGTAAGAAAAATTAGGTCATTTTCCCTTTTATAAGTGATCAACTAATGACACCTTTTTCTTTGCAAAAAAGTGTTCAGATTCCTGCATATTAATATAAAAGAAGAAAAAATAACAGTAGCTAATATTTTGGCAGGTTCTAAATGTTTTACATATACTAATTTCTTTCATTCTCATAACCGCACTATAAGGTGGGTATGGTTAGTATCCTCATTTTACAGATGACAAAGCTAAAGCACAGAGAAGTTAAATGACTTGCCTAAGATTACCCCGCTAATAAATTCAAGCCAGTACAGGAAGTCTAGCTCCGGAATTCATGCACTTAACCACTGTATTATTTATTACAATAATTTATCCAGTTAAAACCCAATTTTCTTCCAGCCTCATCTCTCCTGAACATGAGTAAAAAGCAGGGAGCATTGACCAGGCATGGTGCACACGCCTGTAATCCTACCACTTTGGGAGGCCGAGGCGGGTAGATCACCTGAGGTCAGGAGTTCTCGATCAGCCTAACATGGTGAAACCCCATCTCTACTAAATGCAAAAAAATTAGCTGGGCATGGTGGTGCATGCCTGTAATCCCAGCTACTTGGGAGGCTGAGACAGGAGAATCGCCTGTAGCTAGGAGGCGGAGGTTGAGTGAGCCAAGATCCAGCCATTGCACTCCAGTCTGGGCAACAAGAGCAAAACTCTGTATCAAAAAAAAAAAAAAAAGAAAAAGGGAGCATCAAAAATTAGGCCTGCAGAATCAAGTCTATATGTTTTAATTATGAGTACCTTAGGCCCTCATTCAGAGTTACTTTAATCTGTAATTTGAACAAGCTTTGTTACCAGTTTTTAATCTTCCAGAATATGACTCCATTTGGAAGCTGTTCCTTGAAAAGAACACCATCAAAATGATTCTAAGTATTAATACTGTACTACTTTCATAGTGTAAACTTTTTTTTTTTGAGATGGAGTCTCACTCTGTCGCCCAGGCTGGAGTGCAAGTGGTGTGATCTCAGCTCACTGCAACCTCTGCCTCCTGGATTGAAGTGATTCTCCTGCCTCAGCTTCCCAAGTAGCTGGGATTACAGGTGCCCACCATCACGCCCAGCTAATTGTTTTGTATTTTTAGTAGAGACAGCATTTCACCATGTTGACCAGGCTGGTCTTCAACTCCTAACCTCAAGTGATCCACCCACCTCAGCTTCCCAAAGTGCTGGAATTACAGGTGTGAGTCACCATACCCAGCCAACATTTTAGGATTGTATATATTTAACAATTGCACTAAGTTTAAACTGCTGTCTCAGATTTGTTATATACAATTAGATTTTCTGATATGTTTTATCTTCTCCTTTCCCAGCTTGGCTGGTCCATTGGTCCGAATCATTTGATAAAACATTTACAGACAGTTCAACAAAACACAATTTATACTTGCGCAACTCCTTTACAGGTAAGTGTTATAGTAATTCAGGGTAGAAGGATGGTCTTTTGGTGAAGGTATTACTTTTATATTGCATATTTGAATTGACTTAGTTCTCTTTCTATCCTTCTGTTGCAGGGCCTTCTAATATAATTTGGCATTTGGGGAGCAGATACATATTCACTGTTATCAAGGATGGTTTGAGTGTTTTTTTAAACACAAGTTTAGCTATGTTAAACATTGCTGGCAGGAATCTAAAGTGCTACAACTCTGTGAAGGACAATGGCAACACCAAGCAAAATTACACATGTGTTTGCCATATGAAAGCAATCCATCTTCTAAGAATTTACCCTAAAGTTGTGCTTTAGTCCATTCTTGCACTTAGGTAAAGAAATACCCAAGACTTAGTAATTTATAAAGAAAAGAGGTTTACTTGGCTCCCGGTTCTACAGGCTGTACAGAAAGCATAGTGGCTTCTGCTTCTGGAGAGGCCTCAGAAAACTTACAATAATGGTGGAAAGCAAAGAGGAAGTAGGCATGTCTTACATGGCTGGAGCAGGAGGGAGAGAAGTGGGGAGGTACAACACACTTTTAAACAACCATATTTCCCAATAACTCACTATCATGAGAACAACATCAAGGGGATGGTGCTAAACCATTCATGAGAAACCACTCCCATGATCCAATCACCTCCCAACAGGCCCTACCTCCAATATTGAGGATTACAATTGGACAAGAGATTTAGATGAAGACACAGATCCAAACCATATCAAGCTATCTGCACATGTAAGAAGTTATGCACTTACCTGGCTATTCATTGCAGGTGATTGAGGATAATCCATAAGCATCTACAGACAATTGATTACATAAACCATGATCTATCCAAACATTGAAATGTTATATGACCATATTTAGTTTTCTATTGGTGCTGTAACAAATTACCACAAACTTAGTGACTTAAAATAACACAAATTTATTATCCTACAGTTCTTCAGCTCAGAAGTCCGAAATGGGTCTTAAAGAGCTAAAATCAAGGTGCTGGCATTGCTGTGTTCCTTCTGAAGGCTCTAGGAGAGACTCTGTTCCATGCCTTTTCCAGCTTCTAGAGGTTGCCTACATTCCTTGGCTCACAGTCACATCAGTCCATCCTCTGCTTCCGTCAACACATTTCCTGTGGCTTCAACCCTTCTGCCTCCCTTTTTCCCTTATAAGTACCTTTGAGATAACATTGGGCTCAATGCATAATCTACCCAGTTAATTAAGGATAATCTCCGTAATTTCAATCACATCTGCAAAGTTCCTTTCAGAATGCAACGTAACATATTTACAAGTTCTGGGTTTTAAGACCTAGATGTCGTTGGGACCCATTACTCTGTCTACTGACTACTGAAGAGAAAAGAAACAAGAAAGAAGATGGGAAAATACTATAATTACTGTACTGAGATAAAAAAGATTTCCAGAATACATCATAAAGTAAAAAAGAAAAACTATTTAAATATTATTTAATATTTAATATTTTTATATATTTATTATGGAAATAGGGATTTAGTTACCATCATTCTATGGATAATCAAAATGCTGAAAAAAATAGTATTTTTCTAGAAGGCAGTTAAAAAGGCAAAAGAACCAGGCACAATGGCTCACGCTTATAATCCCAACATTTTGGGAGGCCAAGGCGGGCAGGTCACCTGAGGTCAGGAGTTCGAGACCAGCCTGGCCAACATGGCAAAACCCCATCTCTACTAAAAGTACAAAAATTAGCTGGGCATGGTAGTGAGCACCTGTAATCCCAGCTACTCAGGAGGCCAAGGCAGAATTGCTTGAATCCAGGAGACAGAGGTTGCAGTGAGCTGAGATCGTGCCACTGCACTCCAGTCCAGACAACAAGAGCAAGACTTCGTCTCAAAAAAAAAAAAAAAAAAAAAAAAAAAGATGTTGATAGATATGAAGAAGAAAGATAAAACAGGGAAGAGGAAGGATATAAAGTTCCAGGTGGGAGATATACAGTGTTAAACAAGGTAATCTTTGAAAGCCTCCCTGAAAAGATAACATTTGAACAACTAACTGAAGGAGATTAAGCAGCCACATAGTTGCCTAGAGAAGAACCCCTCTGTACAGAGAAAACAGCAAGTGAAAAGGCCCAGTGGTAGACAGCCTGGCTGGCATGTTAATATCAGAGAACAGCACAGAGACTGGAATGGAATGATCGAGAGAGAAGAGTAGGAAAAGCTAAGACCAGAGAGGTAGCTGGAAGTCCAATGGAGCTGGGCCGTGCACGTCACTGTAAGGACTGAGTGAGATAGGAAGTCACCAGAGAGTTTTGAGCTCAGGAGTGACTTGGTCTGGCTTGTGTTAGCAAATGGACTCTGACTGCCTCATTGAGTGAGAAAGCTGTTACAGTGATCCAAGAGAGAAATGCCAGTGCATTGAACCAAGATGGGGATGGTAGAAGCAGTAAAAAGTAATTGGACTCTGAATATATTTTGAAAGTAGAGCCCACATTATTTGTCAATAGGTTACATATGGGGTATGAGAAAAAGAAAGGAGTCCAGGATAATGCTGTAGTTAGGATGGATGTTTTTGTCTCCTTATACTTGGAATTTTCTGAGGCAGTATCTCCTATAGTAAATGAACAAGTTGCCAAGAGAAAAAAAAAAAGATATAGCTAAGAATGCAGAACATCTTTTTCTGAACCCTCTTACTCTCCATTTCAGCTAAGTGCTCTGTTTTGTCCTGGGACAACCGTGTTTGGTTCTCGGAAACCACAGATTTCTAGGCTAAGGCAATCAATCCTTGTTTTCCAAGATTTTGTAGTACTGGAAAATTATTACTAATTCTGTTTTACTGCATTCTTTTGGCATAAAATCTTCTCTGTGATCTTGCCCCCCTCTGTCTCCAGTCTCATCTCTTGCCACACAGTCTCTCTTACCTGCCTGATCCTTAGTGTCTTAATTGGTCTGAGCTGCAATAACAAAGTGCCATGAACTGGGTGGCTTATAAATGACAGAAATTTATTTCTCGCCATTCTGGAGGCAGCAAAGTCCAAGATAAGGTACCAGCAGATTTGGTGTCTGGTGGGGACGTGCTCCTTCATGGATGGTGTCTTTTGCTGTGTCCTTATGTGGTGGAAGGAGCAAGCTAACCCTCCTTTGTAAGGGCACTAATCCTGTTCCTGAGGGCTCTAGCCTTCTGCCCTCATCACCTCCTAAAGGCCCCACCTCCTAATACCATCACCTTGGGGTTTACGATTTTAATATATGAATATGAGAGTAGACACAAACATTCAGTCCACTGTACTTAACAACATTGGCTTTTTCCTTGGCCCAGTTTGCTGTCCTGGCTCTTGAAGAAAGGTAGAGGAATTACTGTAGATGTTCCAGAAACTCATTTCTAGTCCCTCTTACACTTTGACCACCTTCCTGGCATATGAATAATTCCAGCAAGGATTTCCACACCTATGGAGAATAAGAAAGGCACATTTCTCCTTTGCACAGTAGGTCAGCTTTCATTTCCACTCTGTCCCCAAATATAATGGTGAGCGGCTGACTACTCTCTGGTTGTTCTTCTGACTTAGATTTAGCAAGTCATTCTACAACTCACCTCAACAGAAAATATCTTAATGTCTTTTTGTTTCCAAGCAAGCCATCTTTATATAACAGCTCTTTTTCAATTTGAATTTTCAGGACTCATTCTCAGTTCTTTACATGAGATTTAATCATTTAGGTATAACTGATTCCTCCATTAACCTATAGAGTTTAATATAGGTTCACAGGAATTCAACTGTTATTTCCTGAGTGACTTCTTTGCCAATAATTTTACTCAGATCATCTTTATTATACCAATAAACTAAGCAATAAATAATATTACCATATTCCTTTTCATATTTTTTAATTCTGACAAACAGGAAGCCTTGGCTCAAGCTTTCTGGATTGACATCAAGCGCATGGATGACCCAGAATGTTACTTTAATTCTTTGCCAAAAGAGTTAGAAGTAAAAAGAGATCGGATGGTACATTTACTTGAAAGTGTTGGCCTAAAACCCATAGTTCCTGACGGAGGATACTTCATCATCGCTGATGTGTCTTTGCTAGGTTTGTAAAGGCTTTTATTATTTCAACTATACGGAAACTTATGTGTGAAATTATATCAGAACTATGGAGAAAAGATTGGTGTCAAAGCCACAGCAGCATTTTATCTGTGGAGAAGGATGGATTTTTGCAATGTCTACATTTTCTATAATTATCTTTACTTTTAGGTCTTTTATCTTAAATGTGACCATTGTTAAATGGTTATGGAGTCAGTGTTGTTCTAGTTAGTCTATTAAATGTAGGATTTGCTGTCACTCTCTTCTGGTGTGTAATTTTAAAACACAAGTGTGTGAAATAATATTATATACTCTGTTCATTTGAGTAAAATTGTAGTTTCCTTTTTACTTAACAAAATGTACTATTTCATTAGAAAAAAATCTAGAAATTTTAAAGCTATCAGGGAATATTTGCCATTTTAGAATGTACTGAAATAAAATAAATGGGAGGGTCTACTTTGTGTCATGTACTCAAAATACCCTTTTGAAGAAAACATTAGCTCCATTTTTGCAGGTAAGAACATTTAGAAAGTTTTAAATAGCTTCCCTGAAGTCACGGAGCTAGATTCTAAATAATTCTGTTTCCAAAAAGCATTGTTTTTTATATTACCTAAAGCTGTTATGTGTAATTCTGACATGCCATACAAACCTAAAGTCAGAAGCATGATAACGTGTCATACATAACTTTTCTTTAAAAAGAAATTAATAATAGTAAATCTTGAAGCCTAATTTATCATGACAGAAATTACAGCCATTCTAAATATAGCTTTAAATGTTTTAAAATTTTATTACAATGAAGTTATATGCCTATGAACTTGAAAAACTGAAGTGTTTTATTTATACCAAATTGTATGAAGCTGGAAAGAGTAAAGGAAATTTTCAATTTTATAACAAAATACTGATTATATTTTTTAACTTTATGTCCTTCACATAGGAGTTTGTTTCATTTCATTTTGTTTCGCTTCGTTTTGTTTTGTTTTGTTTTGTTTTGTTTTGTTTTGTTTTGTTTCAGGCAAGGTCTGGCCCTGTCACCCAGGCTGGAGTGCAGTGGCGTGATCTCAGCTCACTGCAACCTCCGCCTCCTGGGTGCAAGCCATTCCGCCACCTGAGTCTCCTGAGTAGCTGGGACCACAGGCACGCACCACCACACCTGGCTAATTTTTAAATTTTTTTTAGAGACGAAGTTTTGCCACATTTCCCAGGCTGGTCATGAATTCCTGAGCTTAATGAGTGATCCACCTGCCTTGGCCTCCCAAAGTGCTGGGATTACAGGCATGCGCCACTGGCTGAGTTCTTTCTTACTATAAGCATTTTATGCTAGCAATTTTTCCTTGTAATAGTTCATTATCATCTTAGCAAATTTCAGAAAAGTAAGGTGTTATGATTTTCCTATAATTTGGTCTTCAGGTCTGTCTGTCTGGAAAGTGGCTATAAACTCTGGCTGTCCCCTGATGAGGCTCCAGGGGAGGTCCTAGATGTTTGCAGTGTGCCTTTCATGGGCTACTTGTTTATCCTAGCAGATGGCCTGATGTTAAGTGTCTGACCCATGACCAGACATCCCTGGAAACTGGTTTATACTGGCAGACACCCTTGTGGCTCTCGTCTGACCTGTATCCAGTTTATTTCCACAGAGATAGCCACTCTCTAGGAGGAGGAGAGTTAGGTTCCAGTGTGTTGGTCAGTTGGGACACAGAGGAGGCAGCAGGCCTCCGGGACCAATGGGAAGTGAGGAGCGGTCCAGGATATACACACAGGTGGGGAACAGAGAGAGAGTGGGATCTGTGGGCCAAAGCCTTTTTGGGGGTCCAGGGTGTTACCCAAGCAGGTTTTCTGCAGAGAGTTCTGACAGATGGGTTTAGAGCAAGCAGGCACAAGCTCACAGAGTCAGGCTGTGATTGAGAGGTAGGTGGTCCCTGTGGCATGTCTAGGCAGTCCATGAGGAGGGTGGGGGTCAGTGGGCGAGTCAAGTAGGTTGTATCTAGCTGTCCCACAGTGAGGTGCTTGCCAGGAGGTGGTTGTCTCAGGCAGATATCTGAATCAACTACACTGAGGAACTGTGAGGAGGAAGAGAAGTGGAAATTGTGTCAAGGGTGACTAAGCCATGCTTCTGGTATAAGAAAGACCAACTTATATTCACAATGGATGCCAAAGCAACATACAGTCATAAGAATTCATTACACAATGTTTGGCTCAAACTGAAACACTATCCTTCCTTTCACATTAACTTATCTCTTCATTTGTTGTGAGAGAAGAGACTTTGGCAAGCAAAGGTTCCTGCAGTCCTATTGCCATAGAGCTGTATTTAACAGGCTCCCAAGCTCTATGCTTATATAAAAACCCTTAAGATGCTCTAGACTCTGAGATTTGGGAAGTGCTTTTTCTATATTGAGTGTAAATGTGCAGTTTATTTTATGAAATGATAAAAAGAAATGTTAGCACAGTTGTCATCACTTATATTTTTGCCTTTGAATCATAAATCCACAAGATTTCCATTTGAATTATTATTTTTTTAAAAGAACAAAATTTATATTTTATATGCTTCCAAAAGGAATGTGAGCCTACTCATATTAAAAGTTTTCTATGCAGTAATATATAAATATAAATGGTTGTATCTAAATCAAAAATCAATGACACATGGCCGGTGCAGTGACTCTTGTCTGTAATCCCAGAACTTTGGGAGGCCAAGGAAGGAGGACTACTTGAGCCCGGGAGTTCACCACCAGCCTGGGCAACATAGCGAGATCCTGTCTCTTAAATTTAAAAAAAAAAAAAAAATCAGTGACACATAGGAAGGGAAGAAAGCAAATATATCAGTCACCTAGGTTGACATAGTATTGTAATTAGCGTTAACTTGAGGCTAAACTTCCTGACAGTAAAGGCAAATAGAAAAATGAAATTAGTTATGTAGTTTTTGAATAAAAGGAAACTTAGCTTTTTAGATAAGAACAATTCTTTCCTGGAACTAAACTCTTCCAGACAGTAAACTGGATTTATCACATTGTGACATTAACTATCAAAAGAACAGTGATACAACTCAGAATATTACATTAAGCTCCTAATTAATTTCCATTTCTTTCCTCAGTCAATCCATTCTATATGCAATACTAATTTAGGTCTTAGATCTTGAATTACTGTGGTGATAATAGGAGCAAAAAAGATTTTGGTTAGGAAAGCTTTTCTGATAATGAAAACAAGATTTTTTTATGGTCTTCCTTCACCCATGTGGAAAAATGTTAATATCCACAAAACCTTCCTATATATAAAAAAATTTATGTTTTGTTTTACTCTTTCATCTGCTTAATTTGCAATGTGATAATTCTTCCAGATATTAAAAGTTGGCCCATAAACTAGAGATAAAAACAAAAACTCTTATTTAGTCATGGCTGAGAATAAAAGTAAACCATAATATTCATGAAAATAGTAATTATTTCCCTTTACAATTAATAGCAAGGGCTGACTAGTTAATATTTATTAAGAATTTATGATATAGTATGAATTACATTAGGAGCTTTGCAAATATATTCTCACAAAAGCCATATGAAATTGGTGCTATTATATCACTATTGATAGAGAAGAGGAGATAATCAAGTAATTTACTGAAGTTAATCAACTAATAAGTATCAAAGCTAGCCTCTGAATCCAGTAATTAGAAGACAAGATTTCAAATGAGATTATTACAGTTTTTCTAGTGAAATAATAGGATCCAAAATTATGGAGGAGATAGTAAGAATGCAAAAACAAATTTCGGCCTTCATAAATCACTTAAATATGCTCACACATTTGATTTAAACTCTTACCATCAATAAATAAAGACTTTATTTAGTTCCCATGTCTAGCTGAGGCATTTCAAAAGAAATAGATTCCAACTTCCTTCTGTCTATAAAACCTTTATAGTTATATTTATTGCCTTCTTTCCTTTTTCGGCATCATGGTATTACATTACTTTTTTCTGGCAGGGCACCATGGCTCATGCCTGTAATCCCAGCACTTTGGGAGGCTGAGGCGGGCGTATCACTTGAGGTCAGGAGTTTGAGACCAGCCTGACCAACATGGTGAAACTCCATCTCTACTAAAAATACAAAGATTAGCCAGGCGTGGTGGTGCATGCCTGTAATCCCAGCTACTTGGGAGGCTAAGGCAGGAGAATTGCTTGAACTCGGGAGGTGGAGGTTGCAGTGAGGCGAGATCGCACCATTGCACTCCAGCCTGGGCAACAAGAGCGAAACTCCATCTCAAAAAAATAAATAAATAAATAAATTCTTTTTGTCTAAGCTCTACAAGAATAAATGAGTAGTACAGTGTCAATTAGAGTTAGTTAATAATCTCCTTCTACTCCCTTAGGTATTCACTCCTTTCTCTGGCTTCCTATGTACCTTCAATACACTGCTGTTGTATACCTGTCACATGCAATTTTTAGGTACTTTACAATTAGACTAAGTTTTTTAGCTGGTATTTTTGTTAGGGCCAAACCTGAATTACACATAAATACTTTGAAATAATAATTTAACTTCCTTATCTGTAAACAGAGGATTATAATTACCTCTCAGAATTGTGGTAACAACTAAATGAGATGATCATGTAACATGCTTAACCAATAATAAGTGTTCAATAAGTTGCAGTATGTTGTTAGCATTATTACTTGGAAATTTTATGTTCTCCTTAAAACACTTAAGGGGAGAATGGAGATTAAAATATCAGGTAAAAGGATAGTAGGGCTTTGTTTTAAAAATACAGGTGAACCTTTCTTCAGTGTCAAAAGTTTTACATGATTAATTTGAAAAGAACCACTAGTATTTAATGTATAGAAGAAAGAAGATATCTGCCTCAATTTGTTTTGAGCAATACATTATAAAATTTCATCAGTGACGATAACCATCAACATTAGTTGCTTTAGGGCATTCAAGAAGATCAAAGAGTATAAGTCAATAAAGTTGAAACAATATGAAATGTGGATTGTTGAAACTGAATGCCAGAGATATATCTTGCCCAGACCTTAAAGCAAGATTGAGGCAAGAGCGAGTAGGAGTATATATTTTACTTTTTCACAAATTTAAAAAACAGTATAATATATGGAAGTAAGAGATGAAATATAACAGTAGCATTTGGAAGAGCTAAACAGATATCCTGTATCTATAAATAATAAATAATATTAATTTATTCATTCAACAAATATACTTTTTGTCACTTATATGCTAGACACTGACCTAGGGGTTGGGAATACAATAGGTTACAAAACAGAGCTTTACTTTTATGGAACTTATAGTCTAATAGGCGACTATGTGGAGATATAATCATTACTGATGAATACTTATAAATTTAGCAGTTATTTCCTTAGTAATATGGAAAGGGATCCCTCCTCTGCCCTTCACCTTTTCTACTCTCTTCCTGTGCTGAAAGCATGTATAAGCCTAATCACCCTGATGTATATGTGAGTACTGCCTTAGACTATCAGTAAAGCTCTGTGAATTCACTTCCCACCCCACCGTGCAGTGTGAGACTCTAGCATATTCTGTGACTATGTTCTGAGAAAATTTAAATAGGAGAAAATGTTGAATCTTGATAGACTGAAATGAAATACATGTTGCATCAGATTAAACTCATAGGCCACCTAATTTTCATTGTGGTTTTAGATCCAGACCTCTCTGATATGAAGAATGATGAGCCGTATGACTATAAGTTTGTGAAATGGATGACTAAACATAAGGTAATGTTTATTGTCCTTTACAAGATTGTATTATATTTTATAGTTAATTTATGAAGGAAACCTACTAGTATGCTTTGAAATCGATCAAATATAATGTTGTTATATGATACTCCACTTGTGGCTTTTAAAAGCATTTTTCTTTTTGGAAATTATTGTGACTATTTAAAAGTATCTAGTTGCCTCTAGTGTCTATAGTACCAAAATTAATATTTGACGTGTAAGTAATTTTCTTATTATATGTTTCTATTTTTCAGAAACTATCAGCCATCCCCGTTTCAGCATTCTGTAACTCAGAGACTAAATCACAGTTTGAGAAGTTTGTGCGATTTTGCTTCATTAAAGTAAGTTCCTTGCTCTATTGAAAACACATATATAGTATCCTCATTTCCATTTGTAAAGCACTATTTTCTTCTGTTTCTAAAAATGATATGCTCATGTGCAGTTTTTAAATTTTGGCTTATGGTTTTAAAATTAACTGCTTACCAAAATAAAATTCAACACTTTTTGAAAGAAGACAACATAATACAGACCCCTTACCATGTAATATGACAATTTCCAGCATTCACTGAAAAATTACTAGACATAAGAAAACAGAAGAAAATGTGACCTGTAGCAAAGCAAAAAATAAGTTAATAGAAATAGGCCTAAAGGTGACCCAAATCTAGAAATTAGCAGACAAGGACTTTAAAGTAAACATTTGAAGTATGTTTAAGAAATTAGATGAAAACGTGGTTATAATAAGTGAACAGAGAGATTCAAACTATTAAAAAAAAAAAAAAGAACCAAGTGGAAATTCAAGAACTTAAAAGTATAATATCTGCTATGAAATACTTATAGGGATAACAGAGTATTGAAGGTGTCAGAAAAAAAAAAAACAGCCAGAGGTCAGGTGTAGTGGCTCATGCCTGTAATCCCAACATGTTGGGAGACCAAGGCGGGAGGATTGCTTGAGTCCAGGAGTTCAAGACCAGCCTGGGAAACGTAATGAGATCCTGTCTTTATAAAAAAAAATGTTTACTTAGCCAGGCTTGCTGGCACATGCCTATGGTACTCGTTACTCAGGAGTTTATGGTACAAGGATCGCATAAGCCCAGCAGGTCCCCGTAGAAATGTTAACTAACTTCTTATCAGAAACAATGGAGACTAGAATACAATGAAATAACATCTTCTGAGCACTGACATAAAAAAAAAAAAAAAAAAAAAAAAAGCCTAGAATGCTATATCTAGGAAAATATCCTTTAAAAATGAAAATGAAGTAGATATCACTGAAGAGTGAAAGTTGAGAGATTTATCACCATCAAACTTCTCCTCCTTTTTTAAAAGGTTCCAAGTATGTTACTGCTGTTTTTAAAATGTAGTTGGTACTGAAAATAGTTTTACTAAGATCAAGACACTTTATCAACTCACTCATCTTTAAACCTAATCAGAATAACATAAACACTGTTTTCAACTTTTAGAGACAACCGATAGACAGACTATGCCAGACTATGCCCAGAATAGAATATAAATATTAACAACCTAACAATGTAAACATTCAATTGACTGAAATTTTAAAGAACGGTAACGCTATTAATATCCATCATCTTACACTGGATTGAGAAATAGTGGTATATTATTTGAAATTTTAAACAAAACTAACAGAAGAAAGAAGCAACATAGGACTTCCAGTTTTAAAATGGTAAACCCAGCCCTTCCCTGATCGCTTTTTAGAAATTATTTAAAAACAACTAAGACAATAGAAAACAAATTCCCCAGTGTTTAAGGAAAGGTTGCTAAATACTGTGAAGGTGATAGTAGAGGGAAGATACCTAGAAAGGATCCTGCTTTTACATCTTCAAATTACAGACAAAGCCAGAAGGCAGCATACTCATTATTGAGAACAGTAGAAGCAGTTGATGCACTGGCAGCAGGAACTTCTCTAGACCGTTTGGCATCATGGAGGAAACAGGGTAAAAACATACAGTCATGTCATCCGGAAACTATGTGAGGCAGGTGGAAAGGAGACTCTGGTTGGTCTATAGATTTCCTCATTTACTCCTGTCATTTTGCTAAAAGCTATGTTGAAGCAATGCGGAAGAGATGTATTAAATTGGGGATAACCAATTTAATTATTTGGTAAGAAATCTGGTCTAAAAGAACTCCCGCCCACTGAGTTAAATTTTACTATGTAAATTTTCAACTATATTAAATTTTACTATGAGACAAGGAGAATTTCTGCTCTTTTCTGGTGCTGCCCCAGCTTCTCCCTTATACAAATCAGCAAATCTATCTTCAAATCACAGACAAAGCCAGCAGGTAGCATGCTTATTGCCCAGAACAATAGGTATAGTACATGCTTTAGCAGTGGAAGCTTACAAAGAGAATTCAATAAAAAATGATTAATAATCAAAGGGGAGGGTCCAGGTGTGGTGGCTCACACCTGTAATCCCAGCACTTTGGGAGGCCAAGGCAGGAGGATCATTTGAGGTCAGCAGTTCACAACCAGCCTGGCCAACATGGTGAAACCCCATCTCTACTAAAAATACAAAAAATTGGGGTGGGTGTGATGGCACATGCCTGTAATCTCAGTTACTCGGGAGGCAGAGGCACGAGAATCACTTGAACCCAGGAGGTAGAGGTTGCAATGAGCTGAGATTGCTCCACTGCACTCCAGCCTGGGTGATGGAGTGAGACTCTGTCTCAAGAAATATAATAACAATAATAATAATAATAAAAGAGGAACCAACTGTGAATCTATATAGGACACTGTAAGGAAAAGAGAAAGGTACAAGGAAAAACAAGTGTTAGAGAATATTCGCCCAAAAAAAAAATGTTGCCATAGAGCAAATAAAATTAGTGCTATTTCAAATTTAAAACCTTTAAAATGAGAAATTAAAGCAGAGATTTTGCGAATTCAGGGAAGATAGAGTAAGATATTATAAGAAGATCAAATGGGAGCTATCAGAGTTCAGGTAGGAAATTGAAAAGAAAAAATAAAGCTATTGGAAATTATGGTGACATTATTTGCTAAAATAATGAACACTAAAAGAACACTAAATACTTCTGTAAGGACATTAAGGATGGAGATAAGTGAACAAAAGGAAGTGGAAAGGAACAAATAATTTTTAAAATATTAGGCAGAAAAATGATTTATGCAGAGGAAAAATAAAATACGTAGAGTTGCTAGAAAAAAATAAGAGCAGAACAAATGGAACCTGGAAATAATAATAATTGTCATACAATTATTAACACTGAGATATACCTCGCTTGATATATTGGGCTTCAAAGACAATTCCTTTGAGCACCTAGATAATAAGATCAAGGCCTCCAGAGGGGCCAGGAGAGGAGGATCAGGGTGGACCCAGACTATTCTTACATCAACAGTCAATATTGGCAAACAGTGTGGAAGTAGCTGGAAGTTTCTAGGGAAAGTGGACACACCTAACTCCACCTCTTAGAAAGGCTAAAAATAAAACAATGACAAAACCATACTAAGAAAACAGAAACTGAAAGAAAGCAGTTTGAATTCAGAGCAAGATAGAAGTGATAAAAATAAATAAATGTAAGGCAAAAATAACACTTTGTAATATTATGGGTAAGATCCTTAGTAGTTGTTAAACTTATAAAAGTTGTCAAACTTATTTCATAGTAAGAGAAATGAAAATTAGAATTGCAAAGAAATTTTATTTTATCTCTTAGATTGGAAACAGCCAAAACAACTAAAAAGTTTCATAAAACACTCTCACAAATTGAGAGTGGGAGTATAATTTGTAAAATCTCTATGGTGGTTAGTTTGACAATTTCTATCCAGATGTGATTTCCCATGCCCTTTGACCCAACAATTCTACTTCTACAAGTTTCTTGTGGATTTACTTGCACATTTTGAATGACTTGTATTCAAGAATTTTCACTGAGGCATCATTTGTAATAGCAAAATATTGTCAACAACAAAATTATTCACCAGTGGGGGCCGCTTGAATAAATGATGCTACATTTACATCAACCTAAATGCCCATCAATGACAGATTGGATAAAGAAAATGTGGTACATATACACCATGGACTACTATGCAGCCATAAAAAAGAATGAAGTCGTGTCTTTTGCAGGAACATGGGTGGAGCTGGAGCCCATTACCCTTAGTAAACTAACACAGGAACAGAAAACCAAATATCACATGTTCTCTCTTATAAGTGGGAGCCAAAAATAATGAGAACTCGTGAACACAAAGAAAGGAACAACAGACACTGGGGCCTCCTTGAGGGTGGAGGTTGGGAGGAGGGAAAGGAGCAGAAAAGGTAACTATTGGTACTGTGCTTAACACCTGGGTGATGAAATAATCTGTACAACACACCTCTGTGACATGAGTCTACCTATGTAACAAACTTCACATGTACCCCCAAACCTAAAATAAAAGTTAAAAATAAATAAACAAGAACAATAAAAAATATACAATTTTAAAAAGAAGGATAGATGAAAATCTCCGGAAAAATATATAATGAAATCCCAGTGTTGCCTCTGGAGAGAAAAACTGGGTGACTGAGGGAGATAGGTGGGAAGCTGACCTACTTTAAAACAAATATTTTGAAATGCTCTCAACCTAAAAGTTTCAAGAACTTTTTTCTAAACTATTTCAGAGTAAGTCGTCAACTTAATTACTAATGATGCTCCTATCACCCCCATATACTTTCTTGTGTATTCTTCACAAACAAGACATTGTCCTCCCAAACCACAATATAACCCTCAAAATCATGAAGTTAACGCTGATACTCCATCTAATCCTCAGATCCAACATAAATGTCATTCATTGTCCCAATAATGTCCTTTTTATAACAATTTATTTAATTAATTCAGGCTAGAATCATGCATCACATTTAGTTGTCATGTCTCCTTCAAGCTAGAATGGTTTCTCAGTTTTCTTTGACTTTCATGATCTTGATACTTTTGAAAATTATCAACGAATTATTTTTAAGAAAGTACCTCAATTTAAGCTTGATGTTTCCTCATGCTCAGATTCAGGCTATGCACTTCAGCAGGAAACCACAGAAGTGATGATATTCTATCCTCTTCATTGTATCAGGTGGCACATGATTTCAATTATTCCTATTACCAGTGATGTTAACTTTAACCACCTGATTAAGGTGGTGTTTGCCAGTCTTTTCTAGTATAAAGTTACACTTTTTCTTGTTAAATAGTAAATATTTTATAGTAAGGTATTATGAAAATATTCCATATCTCATTAAGCAATTTATTATTAACTTATTCATATGTATCAATGTGGACTTCTGGATTTTTATTTCATAGTACAGTTGGCTAAAATTTATTATTATTATTACTTATTTTGATACTTAGATTTTCCCAGATTTGGCCACTAGTCATGTAATTACTAATTTAATCAATACTTCTGTATGGGATCAATCTCCTGTCAAAGCCACTGCGCACCCCTCACCTTCCCAGTCCCTGAGAGGATACCCTTTTCCCCGTTCAGGCTTTGACATTTTGTGCCAGGCTGCTACATTACATCTTCACCCTGCCTGGGCTTTATCACCCATGCCGACCTGTCCTGTCATCCTCCTGGAGAGATGCCCCCATCTAGGTCTCCAATACCCCATACCAGGCCACCACTGTCATCTACTACACAGAAGCCCTCCTTGCCCCTCTTGGGCACTGACACCATGCCAGATGCCTGCCTCACCTCATCCAGGCTCCAGGACCCTACATGAGGCCACCCTACCATACAGGTGCCTCACTTACCCCACTCAGAGTCTGACATCCTATTGCAGCCAGCACTATCACCTCATGACACCTGTGCTGGCCACCCTGCTCACTCCACTCTGGCTGCAGTGTCCTGCACTAGGGTTGCCAAGGCTCTTCCAGCCCTATACATGGACAGCCGCTTTGCTCAACCTCACCTATTGGCTTTCAGACTGAATCATTCTGGTGGAGAGAGAAGACAAAGAAAAAGAAGTAGAGAAACAGAAGATGAACAACAGAAGGCTGGATTTTCTCTGCTTACACCTGTCTAATTTTATGCTATATGTACGAATCACCTATTCAAAAAATAAACTATTTTTCAATAATTACAACTAGGAAACCTTGAAAACAAGGGGCAGAGTACTGTGAATGAACTAATTTTTTTGTTCAGAGCAAAGTGTAGGTATAGTAGATAATATGTGAAGTTCACAAATAAGGAAATAAAAGGATAAACACATTATTAGATTTTGGTGGTAGCCATTAGAACTAAAACCAGAAATTGCCATAAAAGGTTATCTTGAAGTTAGAGGGAGTCATAGGAAGGGGTGGAAAGGGGGTGGAGCAGATAGCTATTATTTTCCCGTGTAAACTCTTCTGTACCCTTTGACCTATTTCTGTAATTATAATTAATTTGGTTAACTGTTTTCCTGTTTTGGGTTCTGCTTTTGCTTTTTCACTTTGAAAATTTTTCTTCACTTGACATCAGATATTCACTTAAATCTTCATTATGTTGTATATTTAAATATTTGCTTCATCTTGAATTTATGTCTATCTGTAATAATGATGATTATTTCATTAATTTACAGAAAAACAGCACACTGGATGCTGCTGAAGAAATTATCAAAGCATGGAGTGTACAGAAGTCTTGATATGTGCAGAATGGATTAATGTTTGTTAGATGACCTAGTATGGAATTGTTACTTAGTGCTGCCACCTGCTGGATGTTAAAAGGTATTTCGGTACAACTGGAATTTAAATATTTACATTGTTTTTCCAAAGCAGTTAACCCAACTCCTAACAATATTCAGGGGATCTGACCTTTTTTTTCAGTTGAAATGTATTAACACATCTTCCATGATCATTTTTTAAGAGAGTCAGCATAACATAGTGGATAAGAACTGTGAGATGTTTAACCTCTCAGTAACTTGGTTCCTTCATTATAAAATGGGAATAAAATCAGTACCTGTTTCATATGAAGGTCATTTCTGAGAATTAAATGGACTAATGTATGCCAAAGCCTGGCAAACAATAAACACTCATCTGACTTTAGCCGGTTTCATGTTTCCACCATTGTGTAAAAACTCCTAACCAGTTCCACCCCTCTACCACATGTATTTTGTTTTGTGTACCCACCTGTAGTTCCTCCCCTTCATTTACCAATGGCCTTGAACTCTGTTCAAGTTTTGCTTCATACCCCGAGTACTGCTATTATTTGCGGTGGCTTCAGGTCCACGTGGAGTAGCCAGGCTTTCCACACTTTGACCTCCTCACCTCTGGTGATGTTCACCTCCACTGCACTTCAGCCATCCACTGCCTTGGTCACTCCCTGAGGCTTTTATCATTCAAGTCGGCTTCACCTTTTGAGATCACAAACTCATCATCTCCCACTATAATGACCTGTTCTTCCAGCTCATTATTGCTGTCTTGTGCACATGCTCTCCCTTTTATTTCTCTCTCTCTCTATTGCCCCACCCCGCCTTCCATCTCCTTCTCCTCAGCTCTTTTCAAAATATCACTTCTTGGCCAGGCACAGTGGCTCATGCCTGTAATCCCAGCACTTTGGGAGGCCGAGGCAGGTAGGCAGGTGGATCACTTGAAGTCAGGAGTTTGAGACCAGCTTGGCCAACATGGTGAAACCCCATTACTACTAAAAATACAAAAAAAAAAAAA